CCCCTCCCTTCGTGCTCGTAGGGTTCGATGAAAGGTCTACAGGTTTTCTCTCTTCGTGCTTTTAGGGTTTGTCGTATGTCCCCTCCCTTCGTGCTCGTCGGCCGAAATCGCCCGAATATTGGGGGGCAGTTTGGCCGAAATCGCCCGAAGGTTTGAATAAATAAATAAATAAATATGTAAAAAAATATAAATATAAATAAATAAATATAAATAAATATATATATATATATATATATATGTATATGATAACTTCAGCTACTGCTACCTTAGCTTCTCCGGAGCCGCTCCGGGGCCGTTCCGGGGCTGGAAGCCGGCAAAAGAGAACCTTGCGCCCGAGTTTGCTGTGTATTACAAGGGATCTGGGCCGCCAAAAAAGAACTCGGAAGTTTTCCGAAAAAGTTTTCCGAAAAACGGCGACCATAGCTTCTCCGGAGCCGCTCCGGGGCCGTTTCGGGCCTGGAAGCCGGCAAAAGAGTACTTTGCGCCCGAGCTTGCTGTGTATTACAGGGGATCTGGGCCGCCAAAAAAGAACCCGGAAGTTTTCCGAAAAACGGCGACCTTAGCTTCTCCGGAGCCGCTCCGGGGCCGTTTCGGGCCTGGAAGCCGGCAAAAGGGTACTCTGCGCCCGAGTTTGCTGTGTATTACAGGGGATCTGGGCCGCCAAAAAAGAACCCGGAAGTTTTCCGAAAAACGGCGACCTTAGCTTCTCCGGAGCCGCTCCGGAGCCGTTTCGGGCCTGGAAGCCGGCAAAAGAGTACTTCGCGCTCGAGTTTGCTGTGTATTACAGGGGATCTGGGCCACCAAAAAAGAACCCGGAAGTTTTCCGAAAAACGGCAACCTTAGCTTCTCCGGAGCCGCTCCGGGGCCGTTTCGGGCCTGGAAGCAACCAAAAGAGTACTTCGCGCCCGAGTTTGCTGTGTGTTACAGGGGATCTGGGCCGCCAAAAAAGAACCCGGAAGTTTTGCGAAAAACGGCGACCTTAGCTTCTCCGGAGCCGCTCCGGGGCCGTTTCGGGTCTGGAAGCAACCAAAAGAGTACTTTGCGCCCGAGTTTGCTGTGTATTACAGGGGATCTGGGCCGCCAAAAAAGAACCCGGAAGTTTTCCGAAAAACGGCGACCTTAGCTTCTCCGGAGCCGCTCCGGGGCCGTTTCGGGCCTGGAAGCAACCAAAAGAGTACTTTGCGCCCGAGTTTGCTGTGTATTCCAGGGGATCTGGGCCGCCAAAAAAGAACCCGGAAGTTTTCCGGAAAACGGCGACCTTAGCTTCTCCGGAGCCGCTCCGGGGCCGTTTCGGGCCTGGAAGCAACCAAAAGAGTACTTTGCGCCCGAGTTTGCTGTGTATTACAGGGGATCTGGGCCGCCAAAAAAGAACCCGGAAGTTTTCAGAAAAACGGCGACCTTAGCTTCTCCGGAGCCGCTCCGGGGCCGTTTCGGGCCTGGAAGCAAATAAAAGAGTACTTTGCGCCCGAGTTTGCTGTGTATTACAGGGGATCTGGGCCGCCAAAAAAGAACCCGGAAGTTTTCCGGAAAACGGCGACCTTAGCTTCTCCGGAGCCGCTCCGGGGCCGTTTCGGGCCTGGAAGCAACCAAAAGAGTACTTTGCGCCCGAGTTTGCTGTGTATTACAGGGGATCTGGGCCGCCAAAAAAGAACCCGGAAGTTTTCCGAAAAACGGCGACCTTAGCTTCTCCGGAGCCGCTCCGGGGCCGTTTCGGGCCTGGAAGCAACCAAAAGAGAACTTTGCGCCCGAGTTTGCTGTGTATTACAGGGGATCTGGGCCGCCAAAAAAGAACCCGGAAGTTTTCCGAAAAACGGGGACCTTAGCTTCTCCGGAGCCGCTCCGGGGCCGTTTCGGGCCTGGAAGCAACCAAAAGAGTACTTTGCGCCCGAGTTTGCTGTGTATTACAGGGGATCTGGGCCGCCAAAAGAACCCGGAAGTTTTCCGAAAAACGGCGACCTTAGCTTCTCCGGAGCCGCTCCGGGGCCGTTTCGGGCCTGGAAGCAACCAAAGCAAAGAGTTTTACTTTGCGGCCCGAGTTGCTGTGTATTTACAGGGGATCTGGGCCGCCAAAAAAGAACCCGGAAGTTTTCCGGAAAACGGCGACCTTAGCTTCTCCGGAGCCGCTCCGGGGCCGTTTCGGGCCTGGAAGCAACCAAAAGAGTACTTTGCGCCCGAGTTTGCTGTGTATTACAGGGGATCTGGGCCGCCAAAAAAGAACCCGGAAGTTTTCCGAAAAACGGCGACCTTAGCTTCTCCGGAGCCGCTCCGGGGCCGTTTCGGGCCTGGAAGCAAATAAAAGAGTACTTTGCGCCCGAGTTTGCTGTGTATTACAGGGGATCTGGGCCGCCAAAAAAGAACCCGGAAGTTTTCAGAAAAACGGCGACCTTAGCTTCTCCGGAGCCGCTCCGGGGCCGTTTCGGGCCTGGAAGCAACCAAAAGAGTACTTTGCGCCCGAGTTTGCTGTGTATTACAGGGGATCTGGGCCGCCAAAAAAGAACCCGGAAGTTTTCAGAAAAACGGCGACCTTAGCTTCTCCGGAGCCGCTCCGGGGCCGTTTCGGGCCTGGAAGCAACCAGCCACACACACGACATACCCCGTTACAGAGGGTATGTATCCATGGCCGGGGTTTTGCGACAGACCTGGTTGTTGTTGTCTGCAGGTTCCAAGTCTTGCTTATCGGGGGGTAAGTGTTCGTGAGTTTCAAGAAGCAAATATATGTATCCCTGAATTTGAAACCAACTCTTAAAGGCTGAGTACTGTATGTGGAGTGGTTCCAAGTCTTGCTTCTCGGGGGGTAAGTGCTCGTAAATTTCAAGAAGCTGTGAGGGTTCCAGGTCTTGCTTGTCGCGGCCAACCCCACTCAGTCCTCAACAGGGGGACTCTCTAGGCTTGAGGCAAGACACCCCCGAAGCCTGAAACCCGAAATTCCCCAAAATCTGTGTTCATGCCTCCCGGCGCGCGACATACCCCGGTACAAGTGCGTTACATACCCGCGACAGACTAAGCACAGTCTATTGCGACATCTGCGTAAGCAACGTGCGCCCCAAATAGACGCATTGTCGTCCTACCCCAATGCGCCCTGAGACCCGTTTTTAGTATATGTATATGTATATATAATATAGTATCATATCATATAAAAAATATCATATACATGATGCGAACGTGCGCGCGACAGAGGTCTGTAACAAGCCGGGCGTTACAGAGGTCCGTAACAGGTGGACGCGGGCGCGGGCCGCGACAACCGGGGGTTTAGGCACACAGCCTCGTCTGTGAGGTTCCGCGGAAGCCACGAGCCCACGAGCCTGATGAGTAGGCGCCCATGTCTCACCGGAAGCTGCGACTGTAGCAGAGTCATTCAATGCGGTTGCACATGGCAAGTAGACAAGTTCTGCTGTCTCTTCGAGCAAGGCATGCGTGAGTCGTGTATTCTTCCGTTGAAAAAACAGCGAGGTATGCAGATGCACTTCGCCACCCTTGATCCACTTGCCTGTAGAGGTGTTTGAGGTGGGGGGGAGGGGTGGGGTAGGGCGGGGTAGGGTGGTGTGGGGGGGGGCTGGAGGGGCCTCAAAAACAGGCGCGGTCATTCGGAAACTTATTCTTTGGAAGCCATCTTGAGTTTCTTGAGTCGTTTGAGGGGCTTCAGGGGCCTCAAAAACAGGGGCGGTCATCCGGGGCCGCCCATGAGATCACGGCGCAGGCCAAGCTGGCTTGCGCCTGTTGGAGACAGAGGAAACGATTGCCGGATAGTCCTAGAATGTCGCTCGCAAAGTCACTGCGCGTACCCATATTGTTGTGCTAGCGTAACGTCCACAGCTGACTCTCCTAGCGCTTTGTCCGTGAGGTTTCACGCTGTGTAGCGGTGGCACGGCCGGCTTGGAGAACCCGGCCAAGTTCACCGAGGCGCGCCCATCAATCATGAATGCAGTTCTCCACTGCCGAAAATGAGTTGCTCTTCCTTTGCTGCTGGTTCGTGTAAAGATTTGTTCAGCAGGAAGCTCGTCTAGCAGCAGAGTTTCAACAGCAGGCTTTGAATGTTCAAGCGCTCGTCATTCTCAGACCAGCCTTTGTGTATCAAACATGTCGACTTGGCCGCGCCTCAACAAAGCCTCGAACATCATCGAGTTGCAGGACAGCTCCGACTCCAGCACAACAAAAGCCAAGGACACGTGCCTCGAGAAAGCCTCTAGCGACATCGAAGTGCTGGACAGCTCCGACTCCGAGAAGGCGCTGCCTTCATCAAGTACAGGGACGGCAAAGAACACGACAACCTCGGAACAAAAGCTGAGCGACAAGCTGCCAGTGGCGTTCTCCGTGAAGGTCGAGCTCGCTGATGAGGAGGGTCGAGATGCCAACAAGAAGAAAGCTCGCTATACATTTTGGGCTGCGCATGAAGGCTTCGGCGTTTGCAAGGGCTCCAATCAGCTGCCGTGTTGCTTTGGGCCTGATGGTAGGCCCGCCAACGCAGCCCCTAACGGACGCTGCGACCTGTGCAGCACCGACAACTTGGAGGCTTTGCACGACGGGATGCCGCAGAAGATCACGCACCTCCTTGCGGACCTGGATGGGAAGCCACTACAGCATGCGTTAATTCGTGTTGGTATCGCACTCGGTCCTGAGGCACGCGCCGATTACAGCATGCGGCGCGACCGGGCAGTTCGACGCCGGAACCCCGGCCGCCCGAAACGAGGCCCGCGGAAGCCCAAGGGTCCCTAACAGTTTCTAAACATTCTCTGAAACTCCGTCCTGAAGAGGTTGCTGTTGAGGCTGCAACGATGCGTGTGGCAGAGCCACCAAGTGAGTAGTTGACATCTCAAGGCACGCACGCGACAGAAATTCGGACAAGTTTTGCTGGGTGCAAGCCGAGTAGTTTGCTTTTCCTGTCAGGGAAACACATGGACAAGTCATGCGCCTGCATCGCTTGAAGAAGCTTGGCTCGCACGGCCATCTCTTGCTCAGCTGCTGTAGCCACTTGCCTAGCCTTCGCTTTGTAACTATCAAGCATGGCCTCCGGACTATTCGATGAGCACGAGACCGAAGCCGCCGCCGCCGACGCTCCAGCCGCTGGACGCAGGACGAAACTCTATCCGTGGGACAGTGTCGCATCCCAACTTTTCGAGCCCTACGGCGAGTGCCCCATCAACGGCATGAGCCTCAAGGACGTGTGGAACGGTGCTGCAGCCGGAAACAAGAAGGCTGCGTATCACAGCCATCTGTGCGCAGATCAAGAAGCCGATCCGTGGCACGTGGGTGCCGGCATCTCCCTCACCGCGGCGGCTCTGTCAGCAGCCATAGAACACTTCAAGAAGCCCGAGATGAAGAAGCTGATCGTGCCAGAGTACTACAACAAGGCCGAGGAAGAGATTAAAGAGTTGGAGCCTCTGCTCGCCCTCTTGAATCTCGGCAAGGGCTCGCAATCTCAAAGGGACACAGGCACCTTTCGATCGGCCAAGCGCCACAAAGCCACGGCGACTGCCTCTGCCACGACCGGGTCGCAAGCTGAGATCCTTGATGCAGCCAGCAAGTTCTACAAGTGGTTGACACGTCCCAAGAGCGCCTTTCGATCCATGCTGTTCCTCCTCTCGGGTGCCAACACGTTCTTCTCTGGACATTGCGCGGACGTGGTCGCCCGTGCCGGAATCGAGAACAAGCCCATCACGGAAGAGCAGTTTGTGGCCGCCATGAAAGCACGCAGCCAGAAGATGCCGGTCCCAGCAGGAGCTGGCCCCAAAGGCTCTGACGCCACGGGACTGTTTGACAGTTAGGACCTCATGTCGAACTCGTCCGGAACGGTATTGTAGATCATATTGAGATGTACAGGCTATGCAGCTAATCCGAGGCGGTGATTGGGCACGCGTAAGTCGTGCGCCAGTGTGCGTCAAGGATGTCGGCTTTTTTTCTGGAACGCACCTGCCATTTGAAGAAAAAGCAAATCAAGTGCAGACACGTCGTGTCTCCTCGATTCAAGGCATGCTCTTGGCACGCGGACGTTTTCGGCCGTAGAGAAAACCGTAGAAAGCCACAGGAACCGCGCGTAGCTTTTGGAAGCAATCATGGCCTTCGAATCCCTGCGGCTGGTGAACCTCGGGACATCGTGCTTCATCAACGCGGGCATCCAAGCCCTGCTGGCAGCGCCGCAGCTGCCCGAGTCGATTCAACGGGGGGCGAGTGCCGCAGAACGAGCCCTTCGGAACGTCATCGCTCTCGCAGGCTCGTCGCCGACGGCGTTCGTGCCTCGGGCCCTGACCGAACTATACTATCACAATCGTCAGGAGGACTGCAGCGAGTTCGTTCTCGGGCTGCTGCACGCATGTGGCAGCTGTCACGGCATCTTCGCAGGACAAGAGCAACCTCGCCTCCGATGCCGTCATTGCGGTTACAGCCGCACTCTACCGGCTGAGCGATTTCTGTCCTTACAGCTGCCACTGATGACCGAGAGACGCATTCGCTCCGTGCAGGAAGCGCTGGACGCCTACGTGACAGCAGAGTACATCCAAGAGGGCATAGATGATTGGTGTTGCCTGAGCGACGAGTGCTTCGACGCCGGCGTCGTTATGGATGCGCCAATACATCAAACTCAGATCAGCAATTGGTCGGAAGCGCTCATGCTGTGTCTCAAGCGCTGGGACAGCACGCATGGACTACTCGACCATGAAGTCTACTGCAACGGCACTGTTACAGCAGCAGGCCAGACGTATCGACTTCAAGCCCTGGTCACGCACATCGGGGACAACGCGATGGCCGGTCACTACGTGTCCTATCGGGCCTGCCGAGATGGTTTCCGTAAATTCGACGACAACCACATCACGCCATCCACGCGGAACGACGGCTATTTCGTGACGCTGCCGGGGGAAAAGGTCTACATGCTCGTGTACACGAAGGCCAGCTCCGACTCCGACGACAGCGACTCGGACGTCATCGTGGTGAGGGACACCGACCAGCAAGCCGCAGAGACAAGCTCGTCCCAGCAAAAAAGAAAGCAACCGGAAACTAGCGGAGACGGCGACAAGCAGCGGCCCAAACGACTCCAAAACTTTTGCAATTATGCTGCCGAGGACAGGCGCCAGATTGCAGAAGTGCTTCGCAAGAGTGTCACTCTACAGGATGCCATCGATGCCTTGCATCAGCAAGTTCCTGACTTCACGACGCTGGACACGACATCGTCGACTTACTTGTCAAGGAGACTTCTGAGGAGTTGGCTCTCGAATCACAGTGCCCTCGAGAAGGCCCTCTCCACTGCCTGCAAGAGCGACCTCCCCGCCCCCAAGAAGGAGAACAAGAAGAAGATCACGCGCAGATCGGGTAGTGCGTGTGCCAATTTGGGCCAGGACGCCAGCAGCAAGGTAAATGCTGCCCTCGAAATTGCGACCTCCACTGGACACTTCGAGGACACTTTGACGCAAACGTTGCCCGGCTTTAGCAGCACCGAGGCGACTGCTCAGCACTACATTCCGCGGGCTACCTTGCACAGATGGTTCGTCTCAACATCACAGATATCCCCGCCCGACACGTGGGCGGATGAACACGGCCGACACTTTACTATTGCGTGTGACAAGCCCGCAAAGAGATCGACCGTGCCTGTGTCCGAGATGGACGAGAGCTCCGTCTGGCTGCTGCATGGATCCTGGACATTTTGTCCACATTGCGGACGGCATCGACCACAAACCAGGATGCAAGGTTTGAGCGTCAAGCACAGTTCTGCAGTGCCATGCTTCCCCTCCTGCGACCGCGATGCTGCGGACTTGTTGGCACCACGCCAAAGCCAGGTGACGATGGCCAACAAATTAGAAGGCTACGTCGTGCCCCGAGCAGATCATTGGCGCTCATGGAGTAACCACATCGGCAACGGCGAACTTCGGCTAGCCGATCTTCTCTCTGAGGCGGAGCTGCGTGACTTGGCGGTGCTCCATATCAACGTAGAGTTCCGGAGTCGACGTGGTGGCAAGGCCAACATTACCAGCAAGCAGAAACGAACAGTGGTCCGATGCACATGGCGACCCACTTCGCTGCTCAGTCTTCGTCGGAACAACCAAGCAGCGCGCGCCTTCACCTGGCTCATGCAGCACAACGCTACCTATGCCAGCTATGTGCATCGCCATGAGCAGATGATGGAGAGTCATCGGGAGGATGAGGCGTGGCGTGAGGTCCCGACTGCGGAACTCCTCCTCAACATGCCGGGCGTCGAAGTTGCTGCGAGGCCGTGGTTGTACCCTCTAGCCAGCTACGCAGAGACGGACCTCGCGCAGCGGCTCTCGGCTCTGGGATGGATCGCCAGCACGCAAAAACCCAGCGTGCGTGCAGCTTTCTTACGGAAGCTGACCGGTCGCTGCATCGACTACGCCAGGGACTTTCCACTACAGTGTCTTCTATATGACGTCTGCATGGCCAAGACCATTACGAGCGTCATGAGCGTAGCCCACCAGCAAAACGTCGCCCCGGAACGAATCTCCGCGGACATGGACATGTTCGAAGGCTACTGGCTGCAACAGCTCCAGAAAATGGAAGACATATGCCGGCAGGAGTATGAGAGATCCAACAGCATGACCGAGGCTCTCCCGAACGTGTTCTTCACGGTCGCCCCCGCAGAGTGGAAGTACGTGTTGCACGACGGCATCTTCTTCGAGGGCTCGCTCAGCGATCAGCAGCAGCTTCTCACATTGCATTTGCACCAAACGCTGCAAAACCTTCTGGAGGTCCATCTTCTGCAAGATGGAAAGAGTCTGGAAGAAGTCGGCGTCGCTCGGGTTCGACAGTGGAGCTTCCGTTTCGAGTTTCAAGGCCGTGGCACCCTCCATCTGCACGCAGTTCTGTGGGCGGACTTCCTGCCGGGTTGGGGTGCAGAAAACATCAGCGGACGCACAAACACCGATAAGACCTCGCCGTTTCTCAACCTGCTCGAGAAGCTATTTCGATGCCGAGCAGACGTCCAATGCGGCGACGGCTCTCACGTCTTGCTGAAGTACGTAGCCGGGTACCTCGCAAAGGCCTCGGATGCCCTGAAATTCCAAGCGAAACAAGTTCAACTCGAAGGCAACCAAGAGGAAAGGAGTCGATGGCGTCAGGCTTATCGACTGCTTTCCAAAAGATCACCCATGGAGCAGGAAATGGTCATGGAGTTCGCGGGCCTGCCCATGGTTAAGCATTCTTTCTCCGGATTCGCCATCTTCGCGCCGGTCCCGGGCAGCACTGCCAAGAACACTTCTCGGCATCACTATGAGGCGTACCAGTACCATCTAAAGCGGTCCGGCGGCGCATGGCCACCTGGGGAAAGTTTGAGTTTCATCCAGTGGCTGCGTCGCTATCGCCTCACCAGCACGAAGCCCACCGACTACACGGCCGCGCCCCGCAATCGAGCTGGACCTGCTGCTGGCAAACCCTGCGGCGTCGCCATGTCTTTTCCATTCGAGATGCTGGACATCTTCATCGGAACTTGGGCTGCTGCGTGCTTGCCGAACATGCAGGAAATCCGAATAGTGCCCGAGCCCGAAGCGGCAGACTACCCCGAGGAACACAGCGAGGAGCTGCTGCGCCACAACTCCTTCCATGCGCCCGAAGGCTGCCGCTACCTCAAAGCCGTCCTGTGCCTGGACGAATTCCAGAAGCAAGGCGCTGCGGCGGGACGCTGGGAACCCGACATCGGCAAGTTTCTCGGCCAGATAGAGACAGAATTGATGTTTCGTGGACTTGGCCAGGATCGCATTGCCAGCTTCAAAGCCAGAGTGCACGCCTGCGGCCTGCTTCTCCTACAGGTCCGCGACGGCCACGAGGACCCCGGCCTGTGGAGCGCTCGCAGAATCCACAGGTGGCCGGAACGTCAATGGTCTGCCGAGCAACAAGAAGTCCTGGGTTACATTCAGCGCGGCACCTCCGTTAGCGAGGCCGCCCACATGGAAACCAGCAAACGCATCCTTCAGGTGACAGGAGGACCAGGCACTGGAAAGACGGAGGTCCTCATCGCCGCAGCCAGACAAGCTCTAGCAGATGGCTGCCGAGTCCTCATCGCGGGTCCCATCGGCCTGCTGGTGTCGATGTACAGGCAAGTTTCAGAAATAATCATGTCCCTCATAGTAGCATACTTAGAGTGCTCCCGTGCTCCCTGCGCAGGTTGCGGTTGCCGGCAGACGACAAATTGACCATGGAAACCATCCACTCGGCTTTCCAGTTAACGCGAGACGCCGACAAGCCCTATGTTCCGCCTGGCAGGCTGCGACGCTATGATTTAATCATACTGGACGAAGTGAGCCAGGTGGACACGGAATCGTGGAAAAAGCTGAAGGCAGCCTTGCGCGAGCTTGCGCCATGCCCGTACATCGTATTTGTTGGGGATTTCCAACAACTTCAGCCAGTTGCAGGCCCTTCCCTGCTCCAACACGACCTAGCTCGAGAAGTCAATGCGGGTGAAGTACCTTTAGTGGAACTCCAGCACCACCCGGCAGCTCGGTCCGTCGATCCAAGCATGCTTGATTTTCTCAGACAGGCTCGCTTGAAGCAACCCACACGAGAAGCCCTGGAGTCGTTCTTCCGCGGCCGCATCTGGGAATCCGACTTGTCTGCAGCCGTCCGTGCCGCGATTGCCCTGGAAGAGCAGAACGGCACGGCCTTCACGTTCCTGACCATCAGGAACCGAGGCGCCTTCGATCTCAACGTGGCCAGGCTGCAGCAACAATTTCCAGAAGCCGCCCAAGCACTGCAACGAGGAGAAGGCATTCCGGCAGAGACAGGAACCGTGGTCTTGTCACCAGGCATGCGACTTCGCCTGACCTATAACGTCGACAAAGAGAGAGGCTTTGTCAACGGTAACGTCGGCATCGTTCGCAGTGTCCTGCGCAAAGATGTGTGCATCCTGCAAACTCCGCAGAACGTCTCCATCTTGGTCCACCCCATCACGGTCAAGGGCAGAAAGCACTTGCCCGTCGCATACGGATGGGCAACAACGATGCGCAGGGCGCAGGGCGCCACCCTAGAACAAGTGGGCCTCTGGTTCGACAGAAGACTTGCTGACAGAGGGTACGCGTACGTTGGTTGCTCCCGCGCAAAGCTTCGCAACAACGTCTACCTCGTTGGCCGGGTCCGTCGGACCGACTGGAGACCAGTTGGTCAAGGCGATGAGAACGAGCAGTCCCATGTGTCTGCCCTCAGCGAGACCACCGACTCTGAAGACGAAGCGTCCAGCACACCATCCTCGAACGAGACCGACACCTCCGGCGAGCCTGAGTCCCCTTCCACTGACCCCGATTTCAGCTCCCTGGACAGTGACTGAAGTCAGTCGGACAGTGCCACTATCAGCTCAAACCGCTGGTAAGTAAAGATGCTGTATCCAAATGTACAGGCCTTTTTGTAGACCCCAGACGGTGATTGGGCACATGTAATGCACGCACCGATGTGCGTCGAGGGTCTCGGCTTCCTCTGCCACATATCCCAAAAGCAGGCGCTGATCGATAAATGCGACAGATTACTGCCTGGAGCATTGCACACGCTTCGCTGGATGCCAACTTTCCTCGACCAGGCTGCGCCCGACTGCCAATGAGATCATCGCGCAGGCCACAAGCGGTCGAGCTGGCTTTCCTAGCGCTTGCGCGATCAAGCTGGCTTTTCTAGTCCGGAAAGATTCCCCACCCCACCCTTGATCCACCTCCCCACCCCACCCTCGATCCAACGAGCTCTAGGCCCATGGTGAAGCCCCCACGTGCTGGCACCAGTTGCTCAAAAACGACCCTGACCAGGCTGCGCCAATGGGATCATCGCACAGTCCAAGCTGGCTTCCCCACCCCACCCTTGATCCACTTATTTGTTGAAGGGGGGTTTGACGCAAGTGCTCAGCAGGTCGTTTGGGGCGGGGTGGGGGAGGTGGGAAGGGCGCGGTCATGCGGGAACTTATTCTTTGGAAGCCATCTTGAGTCTCTTGACCCTTTTGAGGGGCTTCAGGGGCCTCAAAAACAGGCGCGGTCATTCAGAAACTTATTTTGGGCGCCATCTTGACAAGCGGGCTTCCCCACCCCACCCTTTGATCCACTTCATTGCCGAGGGGGGTTGAGGGAGGAGAAGGAGGGGGGGGGTGGGGGGGGTGTGGGGGGGGCGGGGGGGGTTGGGGGCGGGGGGGTGGGGGGGTGGGGGGGGGGGTGGGGACTGGGGGGTGGGGGGGGGGTGGGGGGGGGGTGACGCATCCTTCAGGTGACAGGAGGACCAGGCACTGGAAAGACGGAGGTCCTCATCGCCGCAGCCAGACAAGCTCTAGCAGATGGCTGCCGAGTCCTCATCGCGGGTCCCATCGGCCTGCTGGTGTCGATGTACAGGCAAGTTTCAGAAATAATCATGTCCCTCATAGTAGCATACTTAGAGTGCTCCCGTGCTCCCTGCGCAGGTTGCGGTTGCCGGCAGACGACAAATTGACCATGGAAACCATCCACTCGGCTTTCCAGTTAACGCGAGACGCCGACAAGCCCTATGTTCCGCCTGGCAGGCTGCGACGCTATGATTTAATCATACTGGACGAAGTGAGCCAGGTGGACACGGAATCGTGGAAAAAGCTGAAGGCAGCCTTGCGCGAGCTTGCGCCATGCCCGTACATCGTATTTGTTGGGGATTTCCAACAACTTCAGCCAGTTGCAGGCCCTTCCCTGCTCCAACACGACCTAGCTCGAGAAGTCAATGCGGGTGAAGTACCTTTAGTGGAACTCCAGCACCACCCGGCAGCTCGGTCCGTCGATCCAAGCATGCTTGATTTTCTCAGACAGGCTCGCTTGAAGCAACCCACACGAGAAGCCCTGGAGTCGTTCTTCCGCGGCCGCATCTGGGAATCCGACTTGTCTGCAGCCGTCCGTGCCGCGATTGCCCTGAAAGAGCAGAACGGCACGGCCTTCACGTTCCTGACCATCAGAAACCGAGGCGCCTTCGATCTCAACGTGGCCAGGCTGCAGCAACAATTTCCAGAAGCCGCTCAAGCACTGCAACGAGGAGAAGGCATTCTGGCAGAGACAGGAACCGTGGTCTTGTTACCAGGCATGCGACTTCGCCTGACCTATAACGTCGACAAAGAGAGAGGCTTTGTCAACGGTAACGTCGGCATCGTTCGCAGTGTCCTGCGCAAAGATGTGTGCATCCTGCAAACTCCGCAGAACGTCTCCATCTTGGTCCACCCCATCACGGTCAAGGGCAGAAAGCACTTGCCCGTCGCATACGGATGGGCAACAACGGCAGGGCGCCACCCTAGAACAAGTGGGCCTCTGGTTCGACAGAAGACTTGCTGACAGAGGGTACGCGTACGTTGGTTGCTCCCGCGCAAAGCTTCGCAACAACGTCTACCTCGTTGGCCGGGTCCGTCGGACCGACTGGAGACCAGTTGGTCAAGGCGATGAGAACGAGCAGTCCCATGTGTCTGCCCTCAGCGAGACCACCGACTCTGAAGACGAAGCGTCCAGCACACCATCCTCGAACGAGACCGACACCTCCGGCGA